ATAACCGGTTCGTAATCCCAACCAATAATCAAAACTACAACCTAGAGCTTGAAACTTGAAATGTCTCATAGCGCCTTCGTACCACACTATAAACACCGGTATCGCTGGTTATTGTTGGCGCATCACTATTATATAGCAGAGGTATTCAAACTTTTTCAGCACGCGGCTCCTTCGGGTGTTCACAATATGTTTACGGCTCCCAAATTATTATGAAAAAATTGAAACAACACACGGATACAATATGGGAMATATGGGTGAATGGGTGATAATAACAGTGACTTTAGTACTAGAAATAAAACTTCAAATGTTCGAATCGTGAGGTGTGTCGTTTTCATTTCAATAATGATTGCAGATMATATTTATAATAATTACACAGGACCYAGGTATATGATGTTGGTTTTCGGTGCTTTGACGCGGCTCCCTTTGCAAACTCTCGCGACGCAYAGTTTGAATACYTCTGCTGTATAATGTTCATTTTAACCTTTTTTGTAAGACATTTGCGCATCGTTCGGATTTTGGGTCATACATCGTTTGCGCGTTGACCGTTTAAAAGGTCCTACATCATTTTGCACATCAAAATTATTCAACAATAGAAATGAAAAAAAATGTGACCCCAATAAGTGCAGATTGTTCTCTATAACTTTGGTCGTCTCTAAATTTACTCACGTAATGTTAAATTTTCGAATATTGCATAATATGTATATAAAGTGATATACAATGTACTCTAAGTAAAAATATAATTTTGTAACTTACATTTTCGAGTTGTTGATGAATTTCGTCAACATTTGAACAAAAAAATGTTTATGTATATAAATTATTTTTTGATTTTAAAAATCTTAAATTACTTATCATCTAAATAATATTATACATCATGTAAGTACCTAACACAATTCGTTATACCCTTCTACTGTTTAGAATATTGATGTGCATTTGATGTACGATAATTTGGTAAAGGTAAGCAGACGATGCGCAAATGAAATAGGGCCCACCGGTCGTGTATAAAGTGTACTGACAAAAGATATTCCAAAATTCGCATTTTAATGAGGTGCTCTCACGGGGATAATATTATTACGTTGGTCCGCGAAAAAAAAACGAATATTTGTTTGCTTTATATATAATAATACCCATGGGCGTTACCATCGCAGGTTACAAAAAAAGATAAAATAGTTATTTATGACTGGATGTAATCTATTTTAGAACTTATTTTGCATACTGTTTGTAATACGGTCATACGTGCGTCGTAGATTGTTTTCAAAATCTACGCCTTTGCAGTAATATGTCGGTCAACGTTTATAATTAAAAACTTAGTGATGGTGTAGTACCATTGATTATAAACACTGCCTACAGTACATTATTATTTTATAAATTTATAGCCAATCGTACCTAGCTAGTACTTATCATTCAGGGCATACCTGCAACGACTAACCTAATAGTGTGCCATCCGCGTATACCAAGTTCAAGTACGTTATTCGTACTACCTAC